GAAAGATTCTATGTGTTGGGTGCGTTTTTGGAAATAATTCTACTATATTACTATTCACATTAAATATGATGTTAATAATAAATTAATTTTATTAGGTGGAGAATGTAATTATTTGTTTCAATGTCAAGAAAATTATCACCTGAAATATATTCCTGAATCGTAAGTTTACGATATAAAATTTGAGTATTCAATAATGATTGAAAAATATCTAATATATATATGTATATATATATTAAACAATTTAGTGAATATCAACCAGAAGATATGCTGTCTTGGCATGAATATCAGATTAATGCTATTCTTAATGTTGCTCAAGAAACTTTACAACGATGCATTAACGGCATGAAGTTGCCATGTACAATATTACGTAAGAGTAGAGCTGTTGGTATGTAATTTGAAATGTTATGTTTGAAATGAAATACTCTTATTTATACAATTTACTTATGGCGACAGGTATAGTACCTCAACCAAATGTCAAGATTTTTAGGGAACAGCTTGTTAGTGTTCTATAGCGTTGCAGAATATATAATCATTTTCTGCGAATTACGAATTAATCACACTTTTACCAATTATCAGGATGAATGTGTTCTCTCGACCCAGCATAGCCTGGTCAGCTACTTGCAATCACCATCGGGCAAACAACATTCTTTACCTTTTTGTGCATTTAATGGAGGTAGTGATGTTTGGGTCGACATGCAAGTATTTCAATATATTAAACCATCTAATTTATATTAATACATTAATGATTTAAACTTTGATTTTGGTAAAATTTAGTGGTAATAAACTTATAGGTGTACAGATTTTACAAAATTTTCTCGGAGCTACTCCTGCTGAAACTTTACACGTTGGAGATCAGGTAACGTTTTCTAAAACTTTATATAGTGCTATGCTTTTTATTATAGTTCCCAATAGTTTGTGAATGCTTAGTCTGCTCAATTGCGCGCTAACGAAATACTAAGATCCTAAAGGGCTGAAATAAAATAAAACAAACTTTGGTGAGCTCCATATATATCTTGTTAAGGAAATATCTTAACATTTTATTTATTACACATGTAGTTCTTATCTACAGGAAATGATTTTGCAACAAGATCACAATGTTGTACATTATGGATTGTCAATCCTGAAGAAACTCAAACTGTATTGGTAGAACTAGTTACTTCATTAGATGAAAAGAAAAAATCCCAAAAGAACGGTTGCTGAAGTAATGGCCATTTCTTAATTTAGAGAACCATTTTTATTAATGGAATGTCATAAAATTTATTTTGTACGAAAAGTTATACTTTGTTGTATTTTTATAGTTTTCATAATGATTCTGTGATTTACTTTTTATTCTTATAAATGCTTTTTAGCTCCATAGATTTCATTTTAACAAATGGGATATTGTAACATTAACTAAATTAACTATTTATACTATCTATGCATTTATATTGGATCTGTGGTTTTAAACACGATAATAATTAATTTTATTATATAGATAAAGTATACCAAAACATGAACGAAGATGGTTCATATTTTATTTTGATAGTAATTTATAAATATTGTGTGTCAAATTAATATCAGTGTCAAATTAATATCAGTGTCAAATTAATATCAGTGTCAAATTAATATCAGTGTCAAATTAATATCAGTGTCAGATTAAATAATTACAATCCTGCTAATAATACCTGTCCTTACTCTAACATAGGCCCTCACCCTAACCCTAATGAAATTCGGTATTAAAATTTTGATCTTACGCAAATTTTAATTTGATGTATAGTTTAAATATGTAAAGCATCACCTGCACAACCAACTAGAAATTTACCTTTTATTCCCGCCTATGCGGGAAATAAACGAATTACTAATAATAAAGTTATTGAAAATGGTTAAAATTTTCTAAATTTTCAAGTTTTTGTTCAACTGAAAGCTTTTTTAAAAATTTCAAATCTTGAATTTTTTTTTAAATTCTTTTTGCTAACAAATGGTAAAAGCTCTTTTTGACCCAGTTATTAAACTATTTTTTTTAAATAATAATTTTTATTTATATTTTATACAACACAAATAAACAAAGATTATTATTAACTAATTCTAATAATTTACTGTAGTCAAATCTCTCTAAATGCAACTTATACAAAATATTATGCATTTAAAAAATTATTTATAAAAATTGTATTTAAGCAAATCAATTTTAAGACTATCGACAGAATCGTTAGAACCATAGATGTTTGTTTATATTACCATGAAAGTTCATTTTTTTTCAAAGCAGAAAGTTTCAAGTGCCTTAATCCAATTTGTTTATTGCATGGAATGTTACATTTTCCATTTAGATATATATTAGCAAGATGATACATTGCAATATCGTTTCCATTATTACAGTACTAGCTGCTTTTTTAGAAAATTCTCACAATTCTTCTTTAAATTTGGTAAAGTAAATTTATACAATAATTGTACATACTAGCCGAGAGGGGGAGATGACGTTAACCTAATAAGTATACAATATTGGGCAAAAATTGTCGAATAACGGTAATTTGGCAAATGAGCACGTGCCGCTTTGCGGCACGTGTAGCCAATCATTTGTCAAATTACCGTATTCGACAATTTGCCCAATATTGTATACTTAAACGGCCTTAATTTGGGTGCTAATTTTGAAAGGCGCGTTATTTCCCACCGCGATACAAACCAAAAAAGGAAATTTTTGTTTGTAGATCGTAAAACCAGGTGTAACATGAAATTTGTTTGATATTTTTCAAAAAATCGCTAATAACTCAAAATTTTGTTTAAAATACCGCCTCTTGTGTTCTAACACAAAAAAATTCCTTGCAAATTTTAGTATAATATCTATTTTTCCTAAATCTAAAGTTAAAGCAAATTTACAGTAAATAAATTATTTATAAGTTCATATGATTTGTATCACAGTGAGAAATTTTGATTATTTCGCGCGTATACGGTAGATATTTTCCGACTTTTTGACCATATATTGCCTTATTTTGATGATTTTTTTATTTAGGAAAGAAAATAACAAGAGTTATGAGTGCTCATTATGTACAAAATGGACTGATAATGTAAAAATTTTTTTAAGTTTTAATCAAAAAAAGATTGAAGAGGGTTAACGACTCCTATAAGCCGTAACATTCATTTATGCCTAAATTAGACACCGATAAATTGTGGTAACAACGCATTTATATACATACCATAAACAATTTGAAATATAAGTCATTATGGCAGATTTTTTAATGAATCCTCTTCATCAAGCTTAAAGATTGTTTTCAAAGTTTTTGTATCGAATTTTCAAGTTTCACAAATTCTCCAAGATCATTCCATTTGATTAGGCTTGAGAACTAAACTAGGAAAACAGATATTGTTAGAAGTCCGGAGCATTTACACAAATATGCAATATGCTCCTTTACTACACTCCGGACAATAAAGGATTAATTCCACAGAGACCGCCATAATATATTATCGCAAGTAAAATTAAATTCAATATGGTACAATAGGCACCAATAGACATTCTTGCTGCTGCCAATTTTGGCTTCAAAAAAGATCAATAGTCATCAATCGGATCATATCATCAATAACATCCGTGGCAATATTTATAAGCTGGATATATTACGTACGGCTTGTTTAATACTGGAAACAAAGTTTCAAGAATAACTTACTATATTATTCATTAGGTTTTTATATAATTCATTAATTGCTTTCGTCAAGATTCACAGAATAGATTATAATACAGCACTCATATTATTTGATTAATCTATTTGTAATTTAAGAATGAAGACTGGGAACGAAATTGATATAGCTATATTAAAAAATAATACTGAACTTGACATACAAAGCTTAAACAAATACTATCGGCGTGCTTGGAGATCATTGGATTTTGACTATTCAAAACTCGATCAACATTGTGACTTTCTTAAAAACAAATTTCTTAATAATGATTCTTTTGATGAAAAAGAAAAAACTTATTTACTTGCTAAACTTGGAGAATATCAAGAGAAATTTAATCTGGTAAACCAAAAGGGTAAAACTAGAAAATGTGAAGATTGTCATAAAAAGACTTATTCCGTTCAGAACTGTGAAGAATGTATTCGAAATTATTTGAGGCAAAAGTTTAATACATGGACTTCTGGTGATAAAACGATTGACCATGAAATTCAAAAAGCTCAAAACAAAGTAATTTGTTCATATCAAATTATTGAGTGGATCCCTTATGAAAATCTTGAAGGTGTTGAATATTTTACTCAAGGTGGTTGTGCTACTATTTATAAAGCAATTTGGAAAGATGGTTGTTATGATACTTGGGATTATAAAACGAAAAAATTAGTGAGATTCGGTAAACAGTTAGTTATTTTGAAAATGTTAAAAAGTTCTGATCAAAATAATAGTTGGTTTAACGAGGTAAGGTTAAATATTGGGACTAGAGTTGAAATTATATGGTATAATAAAATTTGGTATAAAATACCAGGTCATATAATAACTTTTTATTTTTACATATTATATTTATATTAATATCCCAGGCTTTAAATCACTTCACTATTGATAGGATTGCACAATATCTTGTTCCTTGTCATGGATTAACGAAAGATCCAGAAACCGGGAATTTCATGCTAGTTTTAAGATATATGATGACTAATTTACGAAACTTCCTACTCGAAAATAATTCTTCAATCAGCTGGGAACAAAGATATGATATCCTTTATGAAATAGCTGCTTGCTTAAATGAAATTCATAGAAGAAATAATGTACATAGGGATTTACATTCTGGAAATATTTTAATTCGACATACTTTAGCACTTTATATTAGTGATCTGGGATTTTGTGGCCCTGTTGATAAACCATTAAATTGTATATACGGAAATCTTCCTTATATTGCTCCCGAAATTATGTGTGAAATGCCTTATACTACAATGGCAGATATTTACAGTTTAGCAATTATTATGTGGGAAATAGCAGCAGGCGTACCACCGTATATGAATAAAAAACGAGATATTAATTTGGCTTTGGCCGTCGTTAAAGGAATGCGTCCAAAAATAGATGATAAAATACCACGGGAATATGCAACTCTAATGGAACAATGTTGGGATGCAAATCCGAAAAATAGACCTGACATTTCAACAGTTTGGAAAAAAATTCGTGAACTTCGAATGAAACTTATTGATGCTAAAGATAATGGAATATCAGAAGAAAATTTTCTTGAAATACTTCCAAATTCTACTCAATCAACTAAATTAGCAAAGGACAAAAATGTAACAAGATGTTCTAGTAGCCTTTACATTCTTACGAATCTTTCAGAGCCAAAAAATGCCTCAAAAGGTTTGAAATTAAACTTTTTCTAGAAAATGATTTGTTATTAGCTAGATAAAATGCCAAGAGTATACAATTTTCATCAAATTAATCATTTATAGTAATGAAAATATGTATAAATTTATATTTTATTTAGTTTGTCTAAATAAAATATCTTTAAAAATTGATTACTGTATTTAAATTTTTTTTTTTTTATTTCTAACAGTTGATAGTATGCTATTGGAATTATCAGTTCCCGAGTATGGTATGTCTTTGTTTAGCATATTATATAGGTTTTGATATATCGATAATTTTAAATTCTGACCAAAATAATTATCCAAAGATGAATCAGATGATGAATTCAACAATGAATCAAAATCAGAATCAAGCACTACATATCCTGACCTTTCTGAAGACTGTAGTTTATAAAAAATTAACTTTACGTTAAAGTTTATTCAAAATGCTAAATATGTCATCTTTACTTTAAACCTCAAATATTTTTTATTTTTTATTTTTTTTTGACTTATCTTAAATATAAATCTACTGAATAATATTATTATCATGAATAATAAAATATATATATTTAACAACTCTCTCTTAATATCCATTGATCAGGTTTATAATTATATTTCTAATTCCCTTAAAACATATCGAGTGCATTCATAATTAAATTTTAATTAATTTCTTTTTCATAGTGAAATCTTATTTTGCCATCAGACATTCTACTGAATGTGTATATTTTATCATTTTCATTGACCATAGAATAACGTTTATCAACCTTTATCTCCTGTTTTTTATAAAGCTCCTCAATGAAAGATTCAAGCTGGCCACAATAATCTGACAAAGGTAAATCAAAACCTTTAACATTAAAATCAATAGGATCCTCAGCATTTTCTATTTCTGATTTCGCCGCTTCAAAACCAACTTTCTCAAGAATACGCCATGATGAGATATTAATGGGTCTAGCTGTAGCATAAAACCGTTTTAGAACATCATCTTCAAAGCATTGAAACCTTTTTTGAATCATTTGGTATTGTTTATCCAATTTTTCAAATCCTTCACCTAAACCAATTCTACGTACTTCTGGACCCCACTCTTCAACAATCTTACTTAAAACAGATTGACCAATACCTCTGTTCCAATATTCACATGATAGCACATATGCTATCTCAGAAATACCTTTTCCATCTCCTTGTCCAGCTACTATATATCCAATAAAGTTATTTTGTTCATCAAATATAGTGAATGCACCATGTGGATGTCCTTCCTTATAACGATTTTCCCAAATCTTTAATCGATTTCTAATTTTTTCATTTGTCCATGGCCTTTCTTGGGAAAAATATTTTACAACTACTTCGTCACTTAATAACTTTTCATAATATTGTAAATCAATATTCTGAACTTCT